TGCCTTGTGTATAGCCCGTGAAGAGGCTGCTAGACGATGAACGCGCTCATACGGTCGCGCCGCAATTGGGGCTTTACGCGAGCAGTACGCGCACCCTTGCACGTCCGGCACTCATCCATTCGGGTGAGTTCTCTGAGTCAAGCTCGCGTCCGACTCGTCTATGGGGTGAGCCTAATATTTGGTTGCGTGGCAGGCTCTCCAGGACAAATTCAAGGATCCCACCTCTCCGTTCCATCTGCCTCCCGGTACTCAAGGGCCAGATTCCCCTGACCCTTTGCCAGAAGAGTTGTCACCGGCGGATGAAGGGCGCGCGAGATTCATCGAGCTCGGGTATGACCCAGATAGCTTTTGGGAGCAACCTATCGTATGGGGAGACCATGACTCTTTTCAGTAAGTTCCGCCTGAGGAAACGGGTGCAAACCGCCTGAACGACGTCGTAACAGGCATGTCAACAATGTTCGTTATCGTACGTCTCTCCTTCTCCATGCATTATGAAGTATAAAGCTATACTGAGATCACTTCCATAGTTCGCTTCCTAGAGTCCGGTCGCATCCATTGGATGCGCGCTCTAGGCCATGAACTCGGCGGGCCTGCGAAAGCCGACGCGATGATCAAGGGCAAAGGAGTCTCGCTCATCCTCAAGTCAATCTCCCTCGACTACAAGCGTCCGGTTGTCTACCCAGACACGCTTCTTGTTGCGCACAAGCCGCATCCCGGCCCGCTGCATACCTCGTCGAATGTCGACAGTGCTGCGGTTAACACCAAGCGCCAGGCGAAGACTCACTTCCATGTCATGGGCGCGATTTGGTCCTACGCGCAGCGACGGATCGTGACGGAATCGGACTCGGTGCTCGTATGGTACGATTATGACAAGCTGGCGAAATGCGATCCGGGCGAGGAGGCGAGGGCCGTTATTCAGAGAAGGATGGATCTCGGTAAACCTCGAGGCTCGTTATAGGTGCCGCCTTCAGGCTGCACGAATTGGCGCGAGAGGTAGCCGCGTCGACGTTCGACTATACTGCAACTTGTTACCTTGCACATACACGCGCTAAGTAGATCTAACCATCTCATCCGCGGAATGTCACCACACAACCCCTACACTAGCCTTGCAGTACCGCTGGGCAGGAGCCAATGCTTAGGAAAGCTGATGGCGGCGTTCCAAAGCGCACGACACTATCGACTGGTCGAAGAATCAGCGGCGCTCACGATGAGTATGACCTTGCGCCGTGTGCTCGTTCACCACTCGCTTTCGCTGCAGCCTCGATGGCGATTGTATGGCCAGAAATACCTGGCATCGAGTCACTCTGCCGCCTCCACTGGGTGGTTCAGTGATGGAAATTGGCGTGGCTATACTCACAGCTCGTCAGGCTCAATGTCCAAGCATCATCTGCTCGTACTGCAGAATCCTGTATAATTCAAGCATACACAAAGGAATGGGTAAGTCATCGCTCGAGATGTTTCATCTGAGCGTGTACTAGTCTCTCAGGGCTCTGAAACTGCCGGGCCGAGCCCGAAAAGCGATGCTACCCAGATCCATGGACGATGCGCCGCGGCTGCTCTTGGACTAGACCCAGACCGGACGAGACCTCGAACAGACTTGACGCCCTGTTATACCTTGTTGTACTACGTTTGCATCCTCTCCGAGCTGCATTCCTCTCTTCAGCTGTCCAGTTGTCCCCTGCGGCCGGCAAGTGGCCAACACCTACGTCTGTACTAGTACGCTAACACATGGCCACAACTCTTAGTTTATCAGCTTGCAGAGACTGCCCGTGCACAAAGGGTGCGATACCCTCAACCGAGCTCGCCGACCAGATTCCTGCCACATGCGTGCCTCTGTGGCGGAGTGGGACGATTCGTCCAGCCCAGACCCGTTAAAGGCGGTGCATAGTCGTCCCTCGCCGGGTCTTGCCCCACGGCTGCACAAAATTCGCGGAGAATATGCCAATCGTTTTTGGAACCTCCTCTGACGTTGTGAGCTGCCGGTCGGTCTGGATTGCGGGCATGATACGAGTTCCGCCAGGTTACGGATCCCTCTCTGCCCTGCGTCCGCCGCGCGATACCATGTCGTATATAAGATGATTCTGCAAGCTCCCGAGCTGGTCATCAACCACCGCGCCAGATCCCATTGACAACATTGCCTTGACGCCTCACTTGCCATCGCCAGCTTGCCCTCACATATCCATGCCGACCTGCGTCGTCTGCTTAGAAGCGCTCAAAGATCCAGCCGCCCTGCCCTGCGGTGAGTGCACTTGTAAGGTACCTCTCAGTTCGTCAGAGCGCTGATATGATTGACGGCAGGGCACGTATTCTGTTATGACTGTGTCATCCGCCTTATCCGCTCCGTGACCCCGTATACCACCAACCACTTCTGTCCAACATGCAAGCAGCCATATGTCATCAGTCAGCACCGTTTCCACCTCGACTCCCGACTCGCCCTGACTCTCGTGCACCACAGCGAATGTCGATCCAACCCTCGTTCCCCATCATCTTCGGCAGCATATTACTCCAGCCATACGCAAGCTCCACTTGGAGTACACTATACCCCTACCCGCCAATGGCGCTGCAACGAACGCCGAGTGCGAGAGGCTCGCAGCCGAAAATGTGTCCCTGAAGAACTGCTGCCTGGTGTGGCGCAAGCGAGCCGCCGTCCATGCAACCGCGACTATGAGCTTCATCGGTCTCGCCAGACTTGCCCGCGACTACGGCCTCAAGATGAAGCAGGAGCGGGATGACTTTGAACGGCGGTACAATGAGCTGAAGAAGCTCTATGATGAAAAGATGTAAGCTCTCTTCCTACGTTGCCGTATCACTGGCATTGACAGGATGAGCAGGCAAGCCCCCGAGAGCCCTCCTGAAACCCTATCATGTCCCCCATCCCCTCGTTCCGCCGACCTTCGCTCCGGGACGCCCTCGTTCCCACACGTCGACCCTGCCGAGGCCGGTCTCCCTGCGAGCATTGGTCGCTCCGACCACCGGCCGCTGTCTCGCTCGCTTTATCGACTACCGTCCCCGGCGATGAGTGACGACAGCTTCTGCTCTGAGTGCCCAGACTGCCAGGAGAAGAAACGGAAACACGAATCCGAGGACCCCGAGGATGCTCCAGAACGGCCGATCAAGCGGTCGCACTCCATGTCGCCCGCCATCCTCGCACCCAATGCGTCTAGTCCAGACAGGGCGTCGTTCGCGAACCTCTTCGACCACTCGCTTACCCTTTGACTCGACCGCATGCCATGTGCATATCCTGTACCCGGACCTTCCTCTGCTTCCCCGGTCCCAGTGCCTTGCGCCGCCATTTTCGCCTGTACCAATTCTGCTCCCCATACCATACGTGGACGTATAATAGGCTCCGATGTCGATACATCACCTCTCCACTCCTCGCCTCGCCTCACCCCCCTGTTGTATGTATAATGTCCACTACGTGCTACCACCGGTCGACAAGCACAAAGGCATGTACGCCCATGTATACTACCTCATTACCGTCATCCGCCGAATGTTTACATCGCCCTGTCCGTCGCGAAACCTATGACAGTAGAGGATCAGCACGGACGATATACCACCCGTGCCATCCGTACGCATATACCTCTACTAGCCCGAAGTTGTACACCTATCATACAATCACGGACTACGGGACAACGGGCTTCCTTGCCTTCCAAAGAAACATGTCTGTCCCCGGTCCATACGCTATTTGCCCGTACCCCCGGCCAAGAATCGCACTCCCTCGCCATCGGAGACGGCGATGATCTGCGCGCGATTCGACTTCGCCAGGACTGAAACTGCCTTGCGCAAGATGGGTAGAGGGATCCCAGATAGGGGGGACGGGACTGGCGGCTCCACGATCTCGTAGAACGTCATGATGGTGTTGAGCTGCCCTGTGGAGTTTGCCTGCGACGAGCAATCTCCGTTGAACACTCGAAGTTCCCACAACAAGAGGGAGGCGTACCCAGTCATAGAGCACTTGGGCCCACTCCTCTGGAGATCGCCAGTACAGCAGGACTGACGATGTCTGTTTAGGAGGTTCGTAGACAGCGTGCCCCTTCGCCACCATGTCGGCCAAGATCGCACTGAGGTGCGAGGACAGCAATCGTCCTGTTGGTTCCAAGATGAGTATCAGTATTGCAAGAACAAACTGAGTTTCGGGCGACATACTATTGATCCTTGGATTGCGAAGAATCTCATCCCACTCGCTTCCGGGTACGTCCGCATCTTCGGCACGGATTACGAAAAGGTGTCTATGTCGTGCATATGATAAAATCAGACGAGTCCATTGCTGGGCGACGATCGCTTGTGTTCCCGGGTTAGGTTGCTGCCTGCGGAGGGTGTCAGAATCGCAAAGATTAGGTACTATCAGCAAGCTCTAACGTGAAGAATGGCGGTGCCGCATGGATTGACGGTAGCAAGAAGCCTAACAACGATTGTCGGGTCAACCATTTCGACCCGGTGCGTCAGGTGAGGACATACCAGACTCCGTCTTGTGAGGAGAAAGCGCCCCGGTCATGGTAAGCTCTCCCAGAGGCTCGCAATGAAGATGCTCGAGCTTGAGCCAATCGTCAAGGTTGTTGCGAACTTGATACAACGTCCTGCTCAGGGATCCTCTCTTCAGGTTCCTTTGCACCTATGATCCATGAACCGCGAACACCGAGACGAAGACCCATGACAAGTACCTCTCTAGTCTCAAATGCGACCACGATGGTACGAACAAACCAGGGATGTTGGCAAGGGCTGTGCTATCCCCGGGAACGGGCGACTGTACTCGGACTCCAGTGTCCAATGGATTACCACCTGCTGGTCTTTAATGCTGTACAATATCCTCGCGACAGCATCCACTTGTTCTACTCGATTATTCAGGCAGTCCTAAGCCCCGTAAGACCTGCAACAAGTACAATGCTTTCGCCCAGGTCGGCAGCTGAATGATGAACTAGTACAGCCTGAGTAGTACTGCGTCATCTTACTGCTGTCTTAGCCGACCGGGATATAAAATGGTATAAGCCCATACTAGCATATCTCCGTTAGTATATCGGTTAGTACACGCGCCTGTCATACACCGACCGCGCGAAAGCGGGGTTCGACTCCCCGACGGAGAGATACTTTTTGACCATCCAAGTATGATCCGCTTCTGAGAGCTGTCTTTCTCCCGAGCTCAATCAAGATTACAGTTAGTGATTCAACGAATGATACAGGAAGTGCATAATCCGAGGACAACCAGGGAAACCACAGGCCAGGAATTGACCAGGCGCCCCGCTATTCACTCTCGTCCCCCAAGAAAGCCATAATGCTTTGCCGAGCGGTCTAGGAGAATTTTAGTCATGATAACAGGCAGGAGAAGCGTGTTGAGAACGTACACGGCGTTTCGGAGCCATGTCGACATCGGACCCGTCCTCCTCATCGTTTGCATCCCCGTCGGCTGCGCCTCGTCGTCGCAAAGACGGCCCAGACACGACCTTGCTCGCAAACTCCTGCACGTCCTCTGTGGCCAGAGGAGTGAGGTATGTTGTGACATTGCGACTCATTGACTGTACGCACCGAGTTCCTTCTCAAATTCTCTCTTCGCCTTGATAGCTTTGGCCTGTTCCATGCTCATACGACCACTCATGCCGAGGTCGCTGAGTATCTGCTTGAGGCGACGAATTTGATCCGAAGGCTTCTCGAGGTCCTTGAACTCCTTAGACCAAACCTTACGCACGCCGCATGCTACAACGAGAGACTGTGTAGAGGCAATTCATCAGTGATGTTGCTCGAGTCCAGGCCGGCACGGCATCATGGCCCCACCTTGAGCCGTTTGATGGTCTCCTCGTCCTTGGACAGCTCCTTCACAGAGTCTTTACGCTTCTTGCTCTTCGTCGCCTTCTTTGTCTGCAGACGCTTAGTACATTTGCGCAGTCTAGAGACAAGCGCATACCAACCTGTAAATCCTGCTGGGAGAGGTCAATGTGCAATCAGGTTCAAAATGAACTCATACATACCCCGCTTTCTCCTTTCTTCTTGCGTTTCCGACTGGGCGGCTCGTCGATTAGTACAGACATCTCCGATTCGCTTTTCTACTCGTGGTGCATGAGTCGTGATTCCGTCAAGTAGACCTGAGGACATACCGCGTCATCATCAGCGCGTACGGCAGACGCACCGTTGCCGTCGGCGACCGCTGCTAAAGCCCGCGAGGCTACAGCTGCAGGCTTTTCCTCGTTGTCTGCAGACGCGGGTGCTTGATTTGCGACCTTCGACGGAAGTTCGGCGGATTGATCGGCGGCATCGTCCGCCTGGATTGCATAACATAGTTGAGAATGCTATCAAATATACGTTATGAGCTACCCGCACCTCAGATTCGCTCTCAATACGCTTCTGTTTCGCAGACGAATTCGCCTTAGACTTCGGCTTGCTGCTTGACGCCTCTGCATCGGTCCCGCTGCGAGCTTCCTCATCGGAGGATGGAACTACTGACTGCGCAGGGGTCAAGGAGGTATAGATACGGAGATCCACCGGACACTTACGGCGGACCGCGGAATAGGCTTCTTGCCTTTTGCAGGCTTCCTAGCTGTGGCCTTCGCCTTGTCGGCTTTGGCCCGAGGCTTGCGAACTTGCTTATCCTTCCCAGAGGCACTGCTGGGTTTCTGCCTCTTGGTGGGTCTATCTTCTTCCTCTGATGTGTCCCCTCCTTCCTCTAACTTGCTCTGAGCAAAGAGATTATATAAAAGACTGAGAACCAGTCAAGTGCACCGGCCCCTTACAATGTAATCCTTTGCGACGGCGTGAACCGCTGCCTTGTACTCCGGGGCGTCCAAGGTGCCACTTTCGAGAGATAGAGTTTGTTCTACTTTCTTCCTGAATGTCCCGTAGGTAAACTCGCTGTGGTCGCTCGTCAGGTACTGTTCCCTGTAGGTGTGGCTGGAAAACAGTACTCACTACAGCTTATCTTCTTTCACTACGTTCCGGATGACGTCCAGCGCCGTGTCGCGCAACAGCTGCACATCCAGTGCCATATGTGTGTTCCTTGAGTGAGTACCACTGAATGTACACAGTAAAGGGCTTGCTCGACAGACAGCCCGTGGTGTTTGTGGCTGGAGAGAGACGCGTCGCGCTTCGCGTAAGCCGCGGCGCGCGTCACCGACGCGTTTGGTCCTATTTGGTCCTCGCCGCACCAGCGCTTCTGCCCCCTACGGCCGTATTACTTGAAGCAGGAAATGCTGCTTTCGCATCCCCAAGTACTGTATGCACCATTCCCGCACTCAGAGGATTCCAGAGTGATAGCGATGATATTGGCTACATTTGATCAAGAGGTATCGAACCATGATAAGACGGAGACAGCAAATAACCACTACACAGTATTACAGGGAGCATGAATACAATAATACAATCGTGAGGGACAGCGCCAGGCGAGAGCATGGTACATCGTTCGTTCATACCCGATAGCAAGAGGATGCGAAAGCCACATCCGGTCTATTACCTTCATCGAGTGCATGGCACGTGTGCAGATGCGGCCCGAGGGAGACCGACGAGTTGCAGCCTACATATCTCCCTTCTTTCCACCCATCGCGCGCAAAAGGCCCCGCATACTCATAGTGGGTTTCCCAGCGGGCTTCTTGGACGAGATCGTCGCAGCCTGCGCCGCCTCACGCGGAGAGCCCGGCACGGTCGGCAGGGATTGGTGAGGTCGCTTCGGAGCGGCGGCAGGCTGAGGAGCGAAGGAAGACGCGAGGAAGTCATCCCGGACCCGTTCAGCATTCAGTGGGTTCGTGGGACATTTGTATGCCGGACTGGGAGGGGTGAGCGTGAGCGGTGCGGGCCGCTTGCGCTGCTTGGCCGGAGCTTGTCTTTCCCTGCGATGCGAAGCAGGAGGCGCTTGGGGAGAACCAGAAGACGGGGAGGTGGGCACAGGGAAAGCGTCAAGCAGGAACTCGGGCTTGCGAAGATGCTTCGCGGTGCGATGCGTCCGGGAGGGGATGGCGAGGACGGACATGCCGGGCCGGCGCGCACACGCTGGCGCGAGAGCGCTGCCGAAGCTTGCGAGGTCGTCACGCTCGTCCTCCGCGCGCATGGCGTAGCGAGGGTCGAGATCGGAGTCCTGGCTGGAGACGCTACCCCTACGGGCGTCGTCGACTTCGGAGGGAACCATGGACGGCTTGCGCGTCTTCGTCGGTGAGCCAAAACGCTCCCAGCTCTGCTCGCTGCCGCAGAACTCGTCATCACCGCCTAGAAGGTGAGCGTATTCCCACTCCTCGTCTTGGTCCCGCCAGAGACCGCCGGCACCATCGCGATACACGTCCGAGACGCCGACGAGGCGGCCATCGCGCGTCAGCTCAGTCGCGCCTGCAGCCTTGGCCTGCGCCTCGGCGAACCTTCGGATGTGATCCTCGATCGAACCTCCATCTGCCAACTGCGCGAGCGCAAGCTCCGTGGCCAGGGGTGGAGGGCGGAGCTTCGCGTACTTGGACTTCTTCGACGCGCTTACTGCCGCGCTTGCCTGGGCACGAGATGCTTTGGTCTGCGTGGGCGACTTCTTCGCGTTGACGGAGAGGGTGATGGGGGGAGACGGTGGGCCGCGCATTGCGATAGACTTCGAACGTACTCGTCGGGAGGGCCTGAGTGCAGAAAGAGAGCGGAAGGACTTGAGTCCCTTCGTCTGCTTGACTGGGCTTGAGGGAGAGTGTGGAGGTGAGCGGCGTGTGCTAACCGACGGACGGGTCTTGCTGGTGAAGGCGGTGGCCGAAAGCGGTGTCTCTGGGAAGTGGACAAATACGGATGTATAGCCCACTGCAGTCAGGTCCGGCTTGAAGTCCTTGACAGATGGAGTGATGACGATTCTTGAGCCCGTCGTCGGGGTGTCAGAGAAGCTAAGGAACGAAGCGGAGTTGGGGTGAGGAGTTCCTGCACTGACAGAGGGGCGCCTAGAGACGAAGCAGGGCGAGCCGCCGGAGGACCGGCGAGCACTGGAGATGGAGGACCGGCGACGAGGCGAGCGGGGCGCAGGAGAACCTGGGTGAACTGCGGCCACCCACGCCGCTACAGCTGAGGTTGTGGCAGAGCGGCGCCTGGGATAGGCAGGCGAGCAAGAGGGCTGCTTAGGGGCCGGCGGAGACGGCAGAGGTTGCGTGGGGCGCTTCTTCTGCGGAGGCGGGTAGGCCAGGAAGGCGTAAGCGGGAGCTGCTTGAGTTGAGGCTTGAGCTGGAGCGTTGACCGAGTTGGAAATTTGGATGGCAGAGACAGCAGACATGAATGAGATTTAGGCAAAAAGCTGAGCGTGGTTGGGACGTCTGTCAGCTGAAGTCATCAGAATGAACCTGAGGACTACGGAAAATACTCACCCAAAAGAAGAGTTAAGCGTGAAGGACTGTAAACACGGAAAGGAGAACACGTTCAATGTCGTCAGGTTGGAAGTCGAAGGCGAGTCGCTGATAGGGCTACAGAGGACAAGTCCTGGTCAAGGAGGCGGATGCAGAGTCGGTGGTAGAGGCGATGCACTGGTGAGCACTAGACTAGCTGGTGATGCTGTCTAGTCCAGTACAGAGGATGCTTAAGAGCAATGAGTGGACAAAAGTGCGTCCACCTCGCCCCGAGGAGGGACAATTGTGCTCGCTTGGGCATGTCAACATCGTCTATAAACACGTCCGGCGCCTGTTCCGCCCGCGACGAAAACCCGTAAACGCGCGCCCACATTCGCAGGCACGCTCGGACCCCGGCCACTAGGAACCCCTCGCTAGGCGCCTCTTATTGTCTCGCTGTGGCCGCACTGCCTGATCAGTGTCTCGGGGTCCCAGCAAAGTACAACGCCTTCCTCTTGCAGCACAACGTCCAGGACGTCTCTTGGCCCTGTAAGACAATAAGCTCGTCCCGTCTACGACCCGCATGACCACAGCATGCCGCTCTTCTCTTCCATTTCCTCCCCTATCGGTGCTCGTCGTCGGTGTGGCTCGCGCGAGTCAATGCAGCTCGCCAGACAGCCGACACCCACGTAATTGTCTCGCTAGACACTAACGCCCTCCTGCCCGCCGTCTAGAGCGATGCTCACTGCACTAGAAACGGTGCAGCGAAGGCGCGAGGCCGGCATTGGACTTTGAACTTGCGCTCTTATTGTCTTTTGCCACACCTGTCG